GAGAAGGGCAGCCCTGGTGAGGGGCAGCCTGGGATGCAACAGGGCACACCAGCCCCATGCCCAGCCCCACCCCCAACCCCAGGCCTCCAGGAGCTCAGGCCCTGGGGGATGGCCACCTCCTCCACAGCTCAGCAGGTGGGCTCAGAGCTGGCTGTGCTGCTCACTGCCGGGCTGGCCTTGTTGCTGGACCATCCCCACACCCTCAAATGCACCCCCACCAAAAGGCTGTCCCTTCCCTCGGGGCTCCTCTCCAAAGCTCCCCTGGCAATCTAGCTTGCTCTGGAGCTGGCAATGGGGCTATTTGCTGCCACATCAATGCCTGGGCTTTAAAATAAGGGGGTGGAGTCAGAGGCAGAGGAGCCCAGACCAATCCAGTCCAGCCAGAGGCCCCCACACAACACACTGAGGCTACCCAGACAGGCCCACCCCGCTGCTCAAGGGCAGGCTCTCTAACAGTCACCCAAACACATCAGCCCAGGTACTACAGTTCTGCTGGGCCCTGTCCTCAGCGGTCGCTGTGCACCATCCCCAGGTGGCCCTCCCCCCGGCTGGGTGCGGGACCCCCGGCTGCCCCCATGCACGCTGCGCCAGGCTCTCACCTTCTTCCTGGACATCACCTCCCCGCCCAGCCCTCAGCTCTTGCGGCTGCTCAGCACCTTGGCAGAAGAGCCCAGGGAACAGCAGGAGCTGGAGGCCCTCAGTCAGGTTGGGGGCCACCCCAATAAGGCACAGGGGCTAGAGAGACGGGATGAACTGGGGGAGCCCCAGGGGCAGGAAACCTCCATGCAAGGTCCCCCCGGGACTTTCTTCTGGCTGACATGCACTGGTGCTTTAACACCCAGCTCCCCAGGGAGGAATTCATGGCTGTATTCTCCAGGTCTTACAGAAAGCTCTATTGGCCTGAACTAAGGAGGGAGAAACCCTAAAGAGGCTCAGCAGGGGAGGGGACAAGAAGGGAGGTCACTAGGAAGGGCTATGAGGCCCCCAACCCACTGCATCCTGCCCTGCCAGGATCCCCGACGCTACGAGGAGTGGAAGTGGTTCCGCTGCCCCACGCTGCTGGAGGTGCTGGAGCAGTTCCCTTCAGTGGCACTGCCTGCCCCACTGCTCCTCACCCAGCTGCCTCTGCTCCAACCCCGGTACTACTCAGTCAGCTCAGCACCCAGCACCCACCCAGGAGAGATCCACCTCACTGTAGCTGTGCTGGCATACAGGACCCAGGGTGAGGCAACGAGCAGGAGCAGGCCTGGCCACAGCGGGGGTGGGACTGGCCCCTCTCTGGTCCTTCACCGGCCTCTCCTTCCCACCCCCAGATGGGCTGGGCCCCCTGCACTATGGAGTCTGCTCCACGTGGCTAAGCCAACTCAAGCCCGGAGACCCTGTGCCCTGCTTCATCCGGGGGTAAGTGAGATGGAGGACTCGGGGGGGAGCTGCCCAGGGTCAGGGTGGCAGCTTTGGTGAGCAGTAAGGAGTGTCACTGGTGAGGGGTGTCACAGGAAACAGGAAGGAGCTCTGTAACATGTCAAGGATGTGGTGTCATTAGGTCACTTCAGAACTCTGGTTAAGCTTTGACTCTCTCATTCATTCAGACTCAGAGTCCTGCCCTGAAACTACAGCTCCCAGAGCCAGAGCTTGGATCAAACCGGCTGGCCCTGTGGCTTTCTGAAAGCTTCTGTATTCCTCTCTATGTCCCTGGGCTGTCTGATGTTGGGCAGCATGGCACCTGGGAACTACAGTCACTAAATCCTCACTCAATCCAGGGAGAACTACTAGTTAGGGTTAAGACCACCCTTGGCCTTAGTGTCACCAAGAACTCAAAGAAGGTGAAGTTTTTTTTTTTTGTTTGTTTGTTTTTGAGATGGGAAGTCTCTTTATGTTGCACAGGCTGCTCTTGAACTCCTGGGCTCAAGCAATCCTCCCACCTCGGCCTCCCAAAGTGCTGGGATTACAGACATGAGCCACTGTGCCCAGCCCAGAGTTCTTTTAATAAACCCATCATGCTTCCTATGAGCCAGACACTGCTTTAAGGACTTCATGAATATCAACTTATTTATCAGGAGAGCCTGGTTCCTCCTCGCTCCATCCACCCTGCATGGTAAGAATGGGGGAGCAGGGATGGCAAAGGGGACCTGATGGAGTGTCTCTCCTGCCAGGGCTCCCTCCTTCCGGCTGCCACCTGATCCCAGCTTGCCCTGCATCCTGGTGGGCCCAGGCACTGGCATTGCCCCCTTCCGGGGATTCTGGCAGGAGCGGCTGCATGACATTGAGAGCAAAGGTGAGGCTGGCGACTAAAGGACTGACTGGAAGGAGTCACACAATCTAGGGACAGAGCAGTGGGGCTGGAAGGCAGGAAATAGATAGGAAAGAGAGAGCAGGAAACAGAGGCCACAAAGCTGAAAAGACGCTCCTGAGACCAAGGGGAGGGCAGGTACTGAAGGCAAGGGCTGGGCCCTGTGTGTCTGGCTTCCTGGTGCCTGGCACATAGTAGGTGTTGACTGGATTAAGGACAAAGGAAAATAGAATTTTCGAAGGGATTAGGGCTAAGACTCAAAGAAGAACTAACTGCCCAAGGTGGATTCTTGACTGTGCCAGAGCTGACCAAGGTCTGTCCAAGACCTAAGGATGCTACAAGGTGTTCAGATTGAGCACAGGGTGCCCAGGGTAGTCTGTCAATCAAAAGAAGAGGGCTGTGACTGGGAGGAGAGTTAAAAGTGTGGGAGAATATGAAGTGGGAGCAGGGAAGGGGACTCCGATGTAACACAGTGCAAAGGGCATGGAATTCTGAGTCCCAAGCCGCACATTCTAGCGCAGCTCCACCAGGGGCCACCACCTCACCGGGGCTTCCCTTCCTTCTGTAAATCAGGGCTGTGCAGGGTCTCTGTGAAAGCATTCTGCACCCTCTTGGAGATGAAAGTAATAGCTTCAGCCCAAAACGCTGGGCTGACAGGCTGGGCGAGGGTGGCTAGTGGGGAGGTCCCACTAGCACTGTGCCTCGGAGAAGGGCCTTCCCAAGCGCGGGGTTGCTTGCAGGGCTGCAGCCCACTCCCATGACTTTGGTGTTTGGCTGCCGATGCTCCCAACTCGACCATCTCTACCGCGACGAGGTGCAGAACGCCCAGCAGCGCGGGGTGTTTGGCCGAGTCCTCACCGCCTTCTCCCGGGAACCTGACAACCCCAAGGTGTGAGACCCTGAGCGCGCAATGGTAACCTGAAGATAGGGAGAGAGGGGAGGACTCACACTATCCAGCGGAAAGCACCAACCATGGCCCTCCGTGGCCTCCCACGACCACTCAGCCACCCCTGCACACTCTGGCCCACCCTCGTGTACCGGCCCCTCTAGGCCCGCTTCCCCCCCGCCCCGCCCCTTTGGCTCTGCCCTTCTTGACACCGCCCCAGGGCATGCAGGCCCCACCTGGCCCGCTCTGTAGACTTTCACGCCCAGGGCCAGCCAGCAGCCCCGGGCTGCGCCCCCGCGCCCACCCCCACCAGGGCCCGCCCTAACCCCGCCTTCCCGCAGACCTACGTGCAGGACATCCTGAGGACGGAGCTGGCTGCGGAGGTGCACCGCGTGCTGTGCCTCGAGCGGGGCCACATGTTTGTCTGCGGAGATGTCACCATGGCAACCAACGTCCTGCAGACCGTGCAGCGCATCCTGGCAACGGAGGGCGACATGGAGCTGGACGAGGCCGGCGACGTCATCGGCGTGCTGCGGGTGCGGAGGGGCGGGCTGGGAGCGGAGCGGGCCTGAGGCGGGGAGCGGGCCTGAGGCGGGCAGCGGGCCTGAGGCGGGGACCAGGCCCCGGGCGTGCGGGGTTCCTACCAAGGTATCCGACGGGTTCTGATCCACTGCGCTCTTTTACGCCAGGATCAGCAACGCTACCACGAAGACATTTTCGGGCTCACGCTGCGCACCCAGGAGGTGACAAGCCGCATACGCACCCAGAGCTTTTCCTTGCAGGAGCGGCAGCTACGGGGCGCAGTGCCCTGGGCGTTCGACCCGCCCGGCTCGGACACCAACACCAACGGCCCCTGAGAGCCCCCTGGCTTTCCCTTCCAGTTCCGGGAGAGCGGCTGCCCCACTCAGGTCCGCCCGACCAGGACCAGCCCCGCTCCTCCCCTCTTGAGATGGTGCCTTCCGACATCTGTCCAGAGGCTGCAAGGATTCAGCATTATTCCACCAGGAAGGAGCAAAACGCCTCTTTCCCTCTGTATGCCTGTTGCCTCTGGCCTGGGTCCGCCTAAATCTGGAAGGCCCCTCCCAGCAGCGGTACCCCAGGGCCTACTGCTACCCGCTTCCTGTTTCTTAGGCGAATGTTAGATTCCCCTTACCTCTCTCAGGAGTATCTTACCTGTAAATTCTAATCTCTAAATCAAGTATTTATTATTGAAGATTTACTGTAAGAGACTGTGCCAGATGTTACGAGAACTACTAAAGTGCCTAACCCAGCCCATGTGGATTACAATTTTTTTTTTTTTAAAGGGAGTCTCACTCTGCCACCCAGGCTGGAGTGCAGTGACATGATCTCAGCTCACTGCAACCTCTGCCCCCGAGTTCAAGTGATTCTCCTGCCTCAGCCTCCCGAGTAGTTGGGATTACAGGTTCCTGCTGCCGCACCTGGCTAGTTTTTGTATTTTTAGTAGAGACAGGGTTTCACCATCTTGGCCAGGCTTGTCTTGAACTCCTAACCTCGTGATCCACCTGACTCAGCCTCCCAAAGTGCTGGGATTACAGGCATGAACCACTGTGCCCGGCGTGGATTACAATTATCAAATGACAAGATTTCTGTTTTAACCTGTGCAGTTGTGGGTATGTGGCGGGGAAAGGGGTCATTCTTTTGACAGAGAGTCCTACATGCCACTTGACCCTGCTCTCTAAAAACATGGTTTCCAGCCAGTCTGGGCTGCTCCCCCGTGCAGTTCTCAGGCTGGTGATCGAGAAGGCAGGTGCAGCACTCAGCTGCCAGGAGCGGGGGCTGCCAGAAACAAGAGTCACAGAGATGTGCAACAGCCGTGAGCAAGCTTTACTGCTTATTTCATACAGGATGGGAAGCCACACCCACTTCCTCAGACATCACACCGGTGCTGAAGTCCAAAAACATCAGCCCTCTCGTCTTTCCACTCACAAGTCCCCATCCCCTGCAAGCCCCAGGGAACTGAAAGTGCGCTGGCAGCCGCCAGTGTGACGAATCCACAGCCTTAAAGTGCACCTGCCTCACTGTCACCCTTCCATGTAGCTTGGCCTCATCCTTGACCTCTGTCCCCTACCTTGAGGAAACTCGAGGACTTCTTCCCAGGCAACTGCTCCAGGACACACTGCAGTTGGGGGTGTCTCCCCTTATCCCTTCCGGGTGGGGACCATCTCTAAGACTTGTTTCCAGATGCCATCAGCATCTCCTCTCCTACCTTTTCTCTGTTCTCAGGGCGAGTTCCTCACTGACTCCCAGGTGCTGCCCAACTAAAGCACCTGGGCCTGTCATCTATGGGGCCTCTAGCAATGGCTCCTTGTGTTCTTCCACTCCACCCTCCAATCTCCTGTGGCTGCGGAAGCCAGGGTACCTGTGGGAGGAGATGGCTCTTGGCAAGCAGTGCAGGGGTCTAGGTTCCAGAGATGACCACCCCACATCACCCCAAATTCCCACCATCGCTCCCACTGCTTCAAGTCTGACTCCGAACCAACTACCTATGCAGTTGTTTTTCCCTCCCCTCACAGGGCAATACTGACCCTGAGGAGTCGTCTCAGTCAGTGCAAGAGGCCTCATCAGGCTCCTTCTGGGTGTCTGTTGTCGCCTGAAACCCTCCAGGGAACAGATTCCGGGCCCTCTGGGTTCCCCACTGTTGTCTGGGGCTGGAGGCAGGACTGGAGCCTGGTGACAAAGGCCATCAACTGGGCATTCCTTGATGCCCAGTGTCCATCAGGCTCTATCCCCTGCAGGCCCCACCCTCCTCACCATCACTTGACCAGGATGGCTTCTCCTCATCAGGCGAGGGTGGCTGTGAGGGGCTGGAGTAGGGCCTGGACAGGACGGAGGCTGCAGCCTCGCCCCACGGCTCCTGCTGCTGCTGCTGGTGAAGCTGCATGGAAAGGAGAAGGAATGAGGGCCGCCCCCAAGGAGGGCAGGGCCAAGCGCCTGGACTAGAAGCAGAGGGCTTTTCAGCCTCCTCCTGCGACTCTGCTAGACCCTTCCGTAGACTCTACCCCGCCTCAGTCTCCACGTTGTTCACCAGCCTTCTCCCCACATTTCTCCAGGCACTGCTCTACTCACCTGGTGCAGGTAGATGGCATGGAGACTCATCTCGGCAGAAGCAAGTTCTGGGAGCTGGGCCAGCTTCTGGCCCCCAGTGCCTCCTGGGGACACAGAGCTGGAACACAGCATGAAGCAGGTCAAAAGACATTACCTCCTCCCGCCACACCCCAGAGGGCTCCCCTTCTGAATCCCCGCAACAGTGCCCCAGCTCCCTGCTCCTAGAGGATCAGCCCAGCCCCCACACCGCTGCAACTCAGTCTCCACTCCTTACCTGGGGTCCTGGGCAATTCGGGAAATGGAGGCGAGGAGGCTGGCTGTGGCTGCAGCTGGACAGGGGGCTGTCGGGCTCAGATCCCTCGGAGGCAGGAGAGGGTGCACGAAGAGGTTGGCCAGGAAGGCCTCAGGCTAGGTGTGAGAGGAGAGGGAAAGCCAAAGAGGGAGTCAGAAGAGAGGACAGAAAGGGAGTGGGGAGGAAGGGGAGGCCTGAAGAAGGCAGGAGAGCAGGCTGGGGGCGGGGCCGGTGAGGCAGGTTATACCTAAGGTTAGGCTAGAGGGGAAGGGTTTGGAGAGGAGTTGTGGAGGTGAGGGCAGAAGGGGAGGCCAGGCTTTCACTCACCAGGGGCGAGGTGCAATTGCTGAGCACCCCCGGGGTGGGGGGGCTGCGAGCCGAGGTGGCGCCCCAGGCAGCTGCATCTTGTTGTACTCGGCCCCAGAGGTGCCCAAGAAACTTAGAGCTGTGCCCTGGGGGGCGCCAGAGCGGATGCACCAGGGAGAACCGCATCAAAGAAAGCTCAGTCTTGCCATCCTCCGCACGCTGAGACAGCGAGGCCTCAGTCTGTCCCGCCGAGAGCCACTGTGAGCAAGGATAGTCTTTCAGGTGCTAAGAACACTGAGCCTTATGGGGCCAGGTGGGACAGGAAACACTGCCCCATCTTCCATGTGAAGGAAACAGACCACAATGGGGACTTGTTCACCCTCATCCAACAATAAAACAGCGGAGCAGAACCTGGGTCTAGACCCAGCTCGGGGATAGGGCTGAGCCTCAGTGCTTTGCCCAGGGTGATCCTGACAGCCTTGGTCCAGGCACCAGTCCTTACTCAGCCCCACCCATGGGCCAAGCCCATTCCTTGTCCCCGAATGGTCTTTGCTCTCATTTACTGACGTTACTATGTGCCAGCAACTCCATTATGGGCTATACAGACATTATCTGTGTCATCACAAGCCTGGCCTTGGCTGTGCTCTGGAGGACACATTGCCATTGTCGCCATCTGACAGATGAGGGCACGAGGGCACAGGGAAGGGAAGTGACTTGCTCAACGGTACAGGTAGCAAGCAATGGCGCCAGGGCTGGAACCCAGGTCTGCTCCGAGAGGCAAGCAAACGCCCACCCAGCCCAACCCCCCAGGGCCAGGGGACAGCTCTGACCTGAGGGTGGCCGTGGCGCTTCACATCCATAAGGGCAAAGGAACAGATGTCCCCAACCCCAGCCACATCCACAGTGAAGTGATGAAAAAAGTCGATAATCTCCAGGGCACGAGGGCGGAACCAGAAAAGCAGAAACAGCGGGGTGAGGAGCGGGGACAGGAGCTCCTCCAAGAGGGAGACCTGGGGAAGCAGCGGTGAGGCTGAGCAGGGGTCGCTGAGGGGCCCACGCACGTTATCAGGACCAAGCAGCCCTCAGCGACCCTCGCCAGGGCAAGAAGCCTCCCCACCCAGTCACTCCCTAGACTCCTGGGGTAGCCCGTTTGTCCAATGCCCTCTGCGAAGACAGACCCCACAACTTCCTCCTCAGCCGTCGCGCCCACCCTCACCGCTCGGTACTGCAGCAGCTGCGCCATCTGCCGGTACGCGCGGTCCCTGCCACCGGGGCCAGGCTCCTCCGGGAGGTAGTGCATGTGGGCCAGGGCGGTCTGCAGAAGCTGCGGCGCACGACCCTGGCACTGCTCTTCGGGAATGAAAGACCTGAAAGGCGGGATCCGTGCGGGGAAGGGGCTTGCGGTTAGGAGGACGCGCAGTGGGATGCAGGGCTGGAGGGCCCCAATGTTGGGAGAGGTAAGCGGGGGAACCTCCCATGGCCCCAAATCAGAGAAACCCACACACACCACCTCCCCGAGCATCTGCCGTCGCACCTGGCCACGGTGGCGGTGACCCCAAGCGCGGTCATGGCGGTGAGCACGTGCTCCACTGCCAGCACGTCCTCGTCGTAGACGGTGAGCACAAGCAGCGCGGCGAAGAGTGCGCCCGCGAAGAAAACGATCTGGCGGGCCAGCAGCGCGCGCAGGGGCGCGGGGGGCGCAGCGGTGCGCAAGAAGGCGGCGGCGGGGCGGTAGGCGCGCGCCAGGCGCGCGCGCAGCTCGTGCGGCAGCTCGTTGAAGTGGCGCAGCTGCAAGCGCGCCAGGCGGGACCAGCCGCGCGCCCCAAGCGCGCCGGGCTCGCGCCGCAGCAGCTCCACGTGGCTATAGAAGGCGTGCAGCACCTGCCAGGCCAGCACCAGTGGGCTCAACGCCAGGTTCAGGGCGGCCAGCAGCAGCACTGTGCGCCCCCAGCGCGCTGCCAGGGCACCCCGCTGGTCGCTGCGCTTGTAGGCGTGCGGCAGCTCCCAGCCCCCGCGGAAGAGCGAGAAGGGACCGCGGAAGAGCAGCAGGTCGACATTGAGCGCCAGGCCGCGGCTGAGGAAAGCGGCACTGCCTCCCCAGGGTAGCGGGCAGCGGGCCGGCAGCAGGCCCTTGTTGGCCAGCGCCACCTGGTAGTTGGTGTAGCGCAGGATGCGGTGGTGGACGTCCAGCTCCGTCAGGGGCCGCGGCTGCACGCACAGGCCCCCGCTCTGCTGCAGCGCCAAGAGGCGGGACTGCACCTCTGCCCAGGGAACCGAGCTCAGCTCCTCCTGAAACGGGCACTGATGAGAGCCAGCGACCCCCATTCCTCTACACAGTGATGCTCAAGCTCCACACCCCTAAGTGTGTGGCCTGAAAACCCGCAAACTGAGTTTGCGACCACAAACTCGCCAGGGCCAAGCTACATGCCTCATCGTCCCCCTCTCCCACCTTTCCCTTTCTGCCCTCCCTTAACCCTGTCACTAAAAAGGGCACACCCTACTGCCTTCATCCTCTTCTAAACTGCCCTGTTCCTCATCATCCCTGCCATTCATGTGGCCAGCAGTCATGTCGTCCCTGGCGACGCCTCCAGGTGTTGGACCTAGCTTCTCAGCTCCTTAAAGGGCCTAAGGCCCCCTCAGTTGTACACACAAAACAGAATGGCTGGCCGGGGGCGGTGGCTCACACCTGTAATCCCAGCACTTTAGGAAGTTGAGGCAGGCAGATCGCCTGAGCTTAGGAGCTCGAGACCAGCCTGGGCAACATGGTGAGACACTGTCTCTACTAAAAATACAAAAAAAAGCAGGGTGTGGTGGTGTGCACCTGTGGTCCCAGCTACTGGGGATCGGAGGCTGCAGTGAGCTGATATCGCAGCACTGCACTCCAGCCTGGGTGACAGACCCAGACCCTGTCTCAAAAGAAACAAAACAAAAAAACAAAAAACCAGAAAGTCCAGCAGTTCATGGGAGAACCTCTCCTTCCCGTTTCCAGTGCACCCACCAACTCTGGAACAGAATCCTCCCCACCTTTTGCCTGGGCATGCTTTATACTCCCAGTCCCACCCAACTCCGGGCCATTTTCAGCTCTGTCACCAGAAGCCTTCCCAGGACCTGGGCTATGTCCATGTCTGGCAGTGGGGCATTGTCCGATCTCATTTGGAGGCTGCAAACCTCACTTCAGCCCAGTTTCACTCAGCTTTCCCAGTCCAGGTTAGTCAAGTCCCCCAGGCTGGCCTCTCCAGTCCATCCCAGTGTCTTCCCTTCCCTTCCCCTGGAAGGAACAGGGGAGGAGGGGAAAGAAGGGAAGAGGAGAACGAGACGGGTGAGCAGTCTCCTGCCAGAGCCGATCTGAGGTCCAGCTTCCGCTCTCACCACCTCTACTTCCCTGGCCTCCTCCCTCCCCCCGGCTCAGGGGCCTTCTAAGACCTCTCCCCTTGCTGCACATAAAGGCTGTGCAGAGGGCTCCGGACCTCCCAGGGGAGCAAGGGAAGCAAGCTGCAGAAGGCTACCTTCGAGCTGTGCCTCAAAGAAAGAACTTAGATACAGAGGAGGGAGGAGCAGACTCAAGATAGCGAGGAAACAAAGGGCAGAGCATAAGCAGAGGACAGTGACAGGCCAATGCAGTGTTTTCCTGCAATGGTGGGGGGATGGCTTTGATGGCTCTGTTTTAGGCTGGTGGGGTCCATCTCCCTGCTGCAGCCTCCAGAAGCTCATGGCTTTTCCCCACCTTCCTGCACTGGGGCTTGGAATGTGCTCCCCTCCCCTCCTGTCCTGCCCTTCCAAGCCCAACCCAAATGTCTCCAGCTCTGAAAAGTCAGATGACCGTCCCTTCTCTAAGCAATGTTTTTAGCACAAACATGTAACTATATGTCATCTTATATGAGCCATCTAAATAAACTAAACTCCCTTAGGGTAAGGGCCATGCTCTCTAAGTGGTGGTAGCCCCCTCCTGACATTATTCTGGGCTTAGAGCAGGTGTCAATAAGGCGTCATTCTTTCTGCCCTCTTTCCAGTTGGCCCTTCTATCTGTACAGTCCCACTTCTTCCCCTCTCCTCTGTCCACCCTTTCATGGCACCCTCCGCACAGACACAGCCACCCAGCTCACCGGGGGGATGTGCAGGGCCTCCCTGTAAAACACCTGGATGTCCCAGTAGCTGAAGAGGTTGCAGACTGAGCGAAGCAGTTGGACCAGCCAGAAGCCCACAGCCAGGACCAGGAGGAGGACGAGCAGCGGGCTGGAGCGGATCCTGTATGGGGTTGGGTGGGCAGTGAGGGAGAAAGGTGGGCGCCTGAGAAACAGGCAGACCAGACTTCGGGAGCGAGGAAAAACTGTCACGAGGAGGGGGATCCAGCTAGACCAGCAGCTCTCAAAGTAGGGCCTGGGGCTGGGGCGGGGAGCTGAAGTGGCCCCTCACAAGTGTGTCAAACTTCTTCCAAATAATACTAATGCTTTCTGATGTTTTCATTCTTGTTCTCTGAGTGTGCAGTGGAGTTTTCCAGAGGCTACAAGACACGTGAACATGTCACATCACACTGACAACTGATGAAATGTGTGCTCGTGCACTTTTTTTTTTTTTTGAGATGGAGTCTTGCTCTGTCGCCCAGGCTGGAGTGCAGTGGCACAATCTCAGCTCACTGCAACCTCCGCCTCCCGGATTCAAGTGATTCTCCTGTCTCAGCCTCCAGGGTAGCTGGGACTACAGATGACCGCCACCACACCTGGCTAATCTTTGTATATTTTAGTAGAGACAGGGTTTTACCATGTTGGCCAGGATGGTCTCTATCTCCTGACCTTGTGATCTGCCCGCCTCGGCCTCCCAAAGTGCTGGGATTACAGGCATGAGCCATCGCGCCTGGCCGCACTCTTACATTTTAAAGTTGTTCTCAGCTATGATTTCCTTCTTTTTCTCCTTTTTATTGAAACAAGGTCTCTCTCTGTTACCCAGGCTGTAGTGCAGCAGTAGAATCATAGCTCCTATCTCCCTGCCAAATAACGGCCCAGGTCTGGTATAGTTATTTGGTTGGTTGGCAAAGCGAACATTGCAATCCATGCATTCAAGGAGGAAGGTTGGGAAGGCAACAATGAAAATGAATCGTCTGCTGGGAGGAGGAGGGTGTAAGGACGCTGCAGTGATCAGACAGTCACTGTCTTAGCCTCCTGACTAGGCTTAGCTCAGACTGCAGGTACGCACCACCAAGCCCAGCTAATTTTTATTTTTATAGAGATGGTGTCTCACTTTGTTGCTCAGGCTGGTCTCAAACTCCTGGCTTCAAGCAATCCTCCTGCCTCAGCCTCCCAAAGTGCTGGGATTACAGGTGTAAACCACTGTGCCTGGCCTAATTTTAATTTTTTATAAGGTAAATTGTAGATGGACACGACTCCCATAAACAAAAGCTCTTTAGGGTTCTCAACCAATTTTAACTGTATTAAGATACACTTAATACACTTTAATTAAGATACACTTAGCAGGCCGGGCACAGTGGCTCACGCCTGTAATCCCAGCACTTCGGGAGGCCAAAGTGGGTGGATCACCTGAAGCCAGGAGTTCCGGACCAGCCTGGCCAACATGGTGAAATCCTGTCTCTACTTTAGAAAATACACGTGGTGGTGCACACCTGTTATCCCAGCTACTGGGGAGGCTGAGGCAGGAGAATCGCTTGAACCCAGGAGATGGAGGTTGCAGTGAGCCTGGACCTCACCATTGCACTCCAGCCTGAGCAACAAGAATGAAACTCTGTCTAAAAAAAAAAAAAAAGATACACATAATACACTTTAAGTACAACTTAATACAACTTAAGTACAACTTAATACACTTAAGTACAACTTAAAGTGTATTAAGTGTATTTTTGGTCCTAAGACCAAAAGCTTTGAGAACTGCTGATCTAGATCACGGGACAAAGTGGGGCTCCTGTCTACTCCTCTACCCACTTCTCATGTTTCACCCCAGGGTCCCACCAGGTTTTCACTCACCTCTCAGCACACTGGGCTGAGGGTAGGATGGCATCTGACAAGGTCACTTTGCTGTGGAACGGCCCAGGTCTCGTACGGTTACTTGGTGGGTTGGCAAAGAGAACATTGTAATCCACACATCGAAGGAGGAAGGTTGTGAAGGTGACAATGAAAATGAATTGTCTGCCAGGAGGAAGGGGGATGCCAGGATGCTGCAGTGATCAGGGACAGTCAGGTGGGCTCCTGCCCCGGCCCCCAGAGCAGCCCATGGTTATCCTCCCCCACCCTGCCCCTGCCACCCTGCCCCTGCTGAGCCCCTGGGCTGCTTGGGAAAGTGTGGGATGGAAGCAACTGGTACAATTAAGGAAGCAAAATGACAGGAGGAACCCATGGGCCCAGGGGACCAAGTTCCGGGCCCGGGCTAAGCGTCTTACCCCAACTGGAAGACATCCTCCAGCAGGATGCAGGCAAAGCCATTCCGCTGGTGGTAGCTGTAGATGTGGACGCATGTCAAGGAACAAGCCTGGGGCACAGGGGGGCCTCTCCTGAGGACGCCTCCCCTCAGCCCCAACACATCTCCCACCCATGACACCCTCATGGAGTCTCCCTGCCAAGAACAGTGCCAGCTCCAAGGGGACCTTCCCATGCCACCTCTGCAGGCCTAGCACAAAGGATATCTTGGTGAAGAAGCTGTCCAGGTTCTGGATGTGATGCCAGGAGCCTGGGCACAGAGGGGAGAGTGTCGGCCCCTGGTATGTGATCAATTCTCCATGTTCTCAACCCACTGCCAGAGGCCCAGCCTGCGGTAAGTACTGGAGCTCCCAGGCACCACTAACCTGCTCCCACCCCCACCCACACCCACACACATACCGCAGAGCCCTTCAGGGACATGAAGCAGGGGTTGCTGCTCCTCCCCGTGGATGGGTGAGTCTTGGGACCCCTCAGGGTCACAGTCCTCCAGCCGCTCATAATCCTGTTCAGGGATCAAAGGGCCTACCCGCAGCCCAGGAGAGTCCTGGGGGCACTGGTGTGAGGGAGGGGGAGTTGCCGAGGCCAGGGGTGGGGTAGAGTGGGATCCCCAGGAGGGAGATGCAGAGGCAGGTGTCATTGCAGGTTGAGCCTGTGTTGGGGGGGTGGCTGGGGTGGGGAGAGCACTGTGGCAAGGCTGAGCCCCTGTCCCCTGTAGCACTGAGCAAGGGGGCCTTGGGGTGGGAGGGGAAAATGAGGAGGGGGAGCTTCTTGTATGAGGGGCAGGGGACAGAGAGAAGATGGAGATCCTCCCTCCCCCAGGTCCCCGGCATGAAGGAGGAGGAGGAGGTGGCAGTGGCATGGGGAGCAGGGGCACTGATCCAGGCCCCAGGTCTCCCCACCGCCCCAGCCGCCCTCTTCTCCCCCCCCAGCCTATTTGGCTCACCATCAGGCCACAGCTTCTCCAGAAAGGTTGGAAGGATGGGAGCTGTTGCTGCTTCCACAAAGGTCTGTGACGCTGAGCTGGGACTTCAACAGGAACAATGACAATAACAATACTAGGTGACTCAGCCTAGGCAGGCCTCAGGCGTCCCAGCTCTCAGTCACCTGTCTCATCACTCACACCCCTTCCAGGGCAACCTGAGGCCAAATCCCTCAGGACCTGAGAGGGGCATCAGTTTAAGAGTGAGGGGCTAAAGAGCACATTGAGATGAGAAGATTCCTATTATCTCCATCTTCCGATCTTGAATGAATGAAAGATAAAAACAGCAGCAGCCAAAATGACAAAAGCGAAAAGCAAAGTCGTGTTAGAGCCAGGTGTGGTGGTATGTGCTTGTGTTCCCAGCTACTCAGGAGACTGAGGTGGGAGGATGGCTTGGTGCAGGTTACACTGGAACAGTATGAGTTACAGTGAGCTAAATCTAGCCACTGCACTCCCACCTGGGAAAGAGCCTGCCCTCCCACTCCCCCCCGCAAAATATCCTATTAAAAGATTGTAGCTGGGCGCAGTGCCTCACACTTGTAATCAATCTCAGCACTTTGGGAAGCCGAGGAAAGAGGATTGCTTGAGGCCAGGAGTTCGAGACCAGCCTGGGGAACAGAATGAGAAGACTCCATCTCTACAACAAATCTTAGGGCCAAGATGTTAACTATTTTGTTTCTTAAGAGTGTACCTCCCCCACTTCCCTCCACACACACACTACAGTGATCAGCAGGGAAATGTTTTGTGACTAAAATAGAAAAGAAGAAGTAAAGGGGCCAGGCATGTTGGCTTACACCTGTAATCCTAGCACTTTGGGAGGCCCAGGCGAGAGGATCACTTGAGGCCAGGAGTTTGAGACCAGCCTGAGCAACTTAGGGAGCCACCATCTGTGCAAAAACTAAAAAACAAAATAATTTTTTTCTTTTTGAGACAGAGTCTCACTCTGTCACCCAGGCTGGAGTACAGTGGCACAATCTCGGCTCACTGCAACCTCCGCCTCCCAGGTTTAAGTGATTCTTCTACCTCAGCCTCCTGAGTAGCTGGGACTACAGGTGTGCGCCACCACGCACAGCTGATTTTTTGTATTTTTAGTAGAGATGGGGTTTCACCATTTTGGCCAGGCTAGTCTTGAACTCCTGACCTCGTGATCCACCCACCTTGGCCTCTCAAAGTGCTGGTATTACAGGCATAAGCCACTGTGCCTGGTCAAAAATTATTATTATTATTATTTTTTTTTTTAAAGAATAAGAAGGCTGGGCGCGGTGGCTCAAGCCTGTAATTCCAGCACTTTGGGAGGCCGAGACGGGCGGATCATGAGGTCAGGAGATCGAGACCATCCTGGCTAACACGGTGAAAC